ATGAAATTGATAATCGGTGGGAAAAAATTTACAATCCAATTTTTGTAATTACATGGTTCTTACATCCACACTATCATGGTAAAGGAATAAGAGAGGAAAGACTTCTGCAATTACAAGAAGATGCGTATAGCCTATTTTGTTTGCTATATCCAGATAAAGATAATGATGCATTTATTGATGAATGGCTTATGTATCAAAATTTTTAACAAAAATTTATCACTTAACCGTCCTAATATTACTCAATCACCGTTAAGATATTGGCAAACTGTATTTATTCATGCACCAAATTTAGCCGAGTTTGCTTGTAGACTTTTTTCTATACCGCCAAATTCAGCAACATCTGAAAGAGTATGTCGTTAATGGGTAATATTCACACAGAACAGCGTAATCGATTAACACCTTCTAAAACTGCCAAAATGGCAAAAATGGCAAAAATTGCCTGGTATTTAAAAGGTAATTAGTTCGACATCAACAATTAATATGCTAGATAAAGATGACGAATTAGATGACTGTGATTATGAAGTAGATGAAATAATAAGTAATTTAGAAGAAGTTTCTTCAAAAATTATTGATGATATAGAAAATTTAGATCCAGATAATCGAAATGACTTACCAACTACCTCTCTTTTCGAATTTTTTAATCCTCAATTAATTCATAATGTAATTAAATTAGATATTTAGCACTTTAGAAATAGAAATAGTAGTATAGATATAAGAGTTAAGTATCGTGATATCATATAATATATTAATAGATTAAATAGTATTATTTTAATTCTGATTTTTGTAACCTATAGATTAATAGATTAATTGAGATTGTGTGAGCAAATACTCAAATGAAAAGACTTACTAAATATTAACCAAGATAAGTATAGAACTTAAGTAACTATTAAGTAGACTACACAGAGAAATTTGAGTAGATAATTACTGTAAGAATCCATAGATAAATAGAGATAATTACTTCATAAACTAAATAACACTTGTAAGTATTAAAAGTGAAAAATTATATAACGCTGTTATTTTTTTACCAATAATGGTAACTTAATCAATAATTACGCTTCTTACCCGCAATATATAACAGCAAACGTTGGATCTTTAAAATACTAACGGGTATATATTATGAATCTTATGGTTGTAAAACGACTTTAACTATTTTCATATAGAGAGTGGTAACGGTAATGGAAATTCTAACGTTGTTACATATTTCTGCAGGTACACTTTTGTGAAACTATTTTCAGGTGAAACTATATTAGAGTACATAAAAACTATGATCAATCACTGATTACATCATTTTATCGATGTTTTCTATGCATTT